CCAATTCTTATCGCCACAAACTTCTCAAATCCGACTTGGATATGCGCCAAATTAACAATGGCGCCGTTCTTTAATAAAGACAAATATGATTTTGTCAAAACCCACATGAACGAATCAGTCAAAACCAACACAAACAAAACCCTTTTCATCCAAGAAGAAGGGAGGAGATGGTGGTTATCTTTATTGAGTTGATTTTGACACTGTTTTTCCCTGTGCCCCAGTAACCCTACAAGACCAACCAGACCTAAGTACTGATATTTAATTTTTTTACCTATTCATATAAAAGCTCAATCCAATCCGTAAGTACTCAGTTATTATTTCTAGCTTGCACCAAATCAGACCTAAGTACTCCTGGGCCACTATCCAGCCCAGGTTACGTGGAAAGAGAGATGAACAAAGCGTCGCTCATGGGATGACACGTCATTCAAAGTCGTCTTCTTCACTATGTCATCGGAATTTGGCTTTCACATGGATTTCACAACATGCCGACAGGCATATTAGACCTCATAAATGTAAATCTAACTTCAAAATCTATTTTGAAGTATCCAATTCAAAGCTTGTAAGTCGGCAACCAGAGGGATTTTTCCAGCTGAAATTGTACTGGAAGATAAAGAAACAACCCTGAAAGGAGGAGGCGAAGAGAAGTCTAGAAATGAGAGATAACATTCCATGCGACAGAATCACTCCTAAAGTCAGCAACTCAGCAAAGGTTCCAGAGTTGAGTCCGGAGTTTGAAGTGAAGCTATACAAATAGTCAAAATGTCTTAAACATTCAATCAATTAAATAATAAAATAACAAACACCTTTCAGAACTTTCCGAACCTATCAATCTTTCTTTCCTTGAGTTTTCCCTCTTTTTTCAAACAATAATTTTGCGTTATTTGATAAACATCACCATATTTGTTGTTGCTCAAAGTATTTGATGCCTTTAATCCATTTACAATAATTATTAGTATTGGATTGTTGGCATAGTCTAATTGTCCATAATTACAATAATTTTGCAATGATTTACAACACATTCCCACTGGAAAATTGGTACATAATACCTTTGAATTGCCATTATCATGTAAGTTGATCCAGTGGGATTAATCAAGAATCTCTTTGCTCGAAATGTGATATTTTGCATCTCTCCGGCTATAGGAGATGCTGAATGCTGATTGATTAACAGACGTCGTGAAGGTTTGGAGTTGGGCATCTCTTTCAAGATCGTGAGTCGTACAAGATTTTTTTATCAGATTACATCAAGTCATTATTAATTTCTTCTTCTTTTCTTCAATTTGAATCGAATCAAGTCTCCAATTCAAATGGGTCTCGGGTCAATCTTTCTGTCTAGGCTTTATAACTATGACTTAAACTATATAAATCTATTAATACTAATTATTTTTTCATTGTAATATGAAAATTAATTAAACAATCTTTTAATCAGTGTTTACCATCTTTAATCCAACTAAAAAAACATTTCAAAAATTCCTTCTTTCCTAGTTAAATCTTCCCTCCATATAACCTTCCTTTCTTTTTTATGTTTTATTTTTGAAAAAAAGGAAGGAAAAAAAGTTTAAAAAAAAAAACATAAACTTTAGGCAAGGACTAAGTTATAAATGAAATTTAAAGTATAGAGTTTTCAAAACCACAAGGACTAGCTAATTAGTTGTGTTCAACTACAGGGACTAAGTCACTAACTCTTCTTTCTTCGGGGTCAAGTTAGCTTCTCTCGTTATTGGGTACAAGCCTGGCACGTCCCATGCAGAAAGGTCATGTACTCTTATGAACTTGCTCTGTCTTCTATCAAAAATACCATTAGCGGCAAGAATTCCAGGTGAGCTTTTGCGTTTTGCCATTTTTTCAGTCAGACCTTTCATCAAACTCCTTGTGTCACTTACTATTACCATTAAAGAATTCTCAAAATCAAACCCCAATCAAATGTCCAGCCATATCCCATTTGATATCATAACTAGAATCCTCTCCAATCTTGACATCAAGACTCTCCTATGCTTCAGGAGCGTGTCAAAAGAATGGCGTTCTTTAATAGACAGCAATGGTTTTATCAGCACCCATATGAGTCTGTCAATCAAAACCAACACTAACAACACCCTTCTTATTCTTGGAGAAGGAGGCCTTAATCCCATAAACTTCGACGATCTTTCTCCTGGTGACCTATTAAACTTGCAAGACCAACCATTTATTTCAATATTTGGATGGCAAGATGTTCGTTTAATGGGTTCTTGTAATGGTTTGGTGTGTTTAAGCAATGATGATGGTGACGTTGTTATACTTAATCAATCAACGCGAGAAAATAAAGGGATACTGTCTCTTGTTCGACATAGATTTGAACTTTCTGTTAGTTCGGCACCAGATGAGCATTGGGTTTGGGGAAGCGGATATGGGTTTGGTTACGATGCAGTTTCTAATGACTATAAGGTTGTGAGTATCGCCAAGTTTCTTGGAATAGGTTTTACTAGTTTCAAAGAATCAGAAATGACAATTTATAGTGCAAAGAAAGATTTGTGTTGGGTTATTAAGATCCCTTATGCTATGCTGTTTACGAATGATAAAATGGGTGTTTACGTTCATGGATCATTGCATTGGATTGCTAAGGGGTTTGGTAGTTGGAGGGATAGAATTGTTGGCTTTGATCTTGGATTGGATGAGTTTAGAGAGGTGCCACAACCTGATTATGGGGGTAATATTGTGATTGACATTGATCTTGGTGTGTTGGGCAGTTTTTTGTGTGTGTTTGCTAAATAAATGGTTCGGGTACTGTAATGGTAGAATTCAAAAATAGAAGAGAGGAGAATTAGAGATTGGAGTGCTGACGTTTGGATTATGAAAGAATATGGGGTTAAGGAGTCTTGGAGTAAGGTGTTCTCTATTTCGAGAAATGTGTTGTTTTATGATTCAGTAAGGCCGTTGAGTTACTCTAGGAAAGGTAGGGAAGTTTTGTTAGAATTGGATGAGAGAAGACTTGTTTGGTATGGCATGGAAACTAGAAGGGTTGTGGATGTTGTGATTCAAGGAAGGAAGAAGGAGCGTTTGGAAGCAATTTTATGTTTGAATTCCCTTGTTCCTCCTGATGGTAATGACAGAGTTGTTAACAGTCAGCAGCCGACGAAAGAGAAAAAGAAGAACGAAGAAGAGGTATTGCTTGATCTTGTTTTTCTTGGAGTCTTGGGATTGATGATTGAATTGCTAAATGTTTGCATTTTTCAGTTGAACTTTAGTATCTGAGGTTACTAAAATAACTGGTGATGTAATTACTAATGAATATATTGTATCATGGATAATCCAATTATTAGCATTTTCATTAGAGATTTGAGCCTACCCTGTTGTGGCTTTGTACTTTTCAGGGATGACTTCCTTTCATCAGGATTTAAGCTCAAACTGTAGGCAAAACCAAGTGAATGTGAAGCTTTGAAGCTGGGAAGCAACAAGGGTTACAGAACATTTTCAGTCAGTGTTTCATTTTCATGTTTTTGTTTTCCCCGGCCGGGGTATGGTGGGGGCAATATGAATACAGTAGTCCTGCCTTCTGTCTTTTGAGATCTCCATCACCTTATCATGCTTGAACATATTAAAAAACCTTAGCTATAATTCTTTCCAAAATGTAAAGACTAACTAGTTCAAAAACATATTATTATGTGTTACTTGATATTACTAATACTGAGTGTGTGGTGCGAAATATTATTGCGATGTTAGACTGGTTCTGATGTACTTTTCTGTGCATCCCTCACGTTTACATATCTGGATTGGATGATGGATTGCAAATGTTATACTAATGAACAACATCGTGCGAGCATTGATAGCACTGATTTTTCTGCAGAAATCTTGAATTCACCTGACTAAGATGCTGTTCAATCTTTGTTATTTCGAGTTATATGAAACATCACCAGACTCGGCAGTCTGACTCGTTAGATTTTCAGCTATTCAATTTTTATCTAAATTTTTTTCTTTATTGCTTAACATGCATATCTGGATATCCCTGTAGAACACACAAGAAACTTATTTTCAGGATCTAGGATTAGTTGCTAGAGGTTCAACTACTTGCATTGTAGAATTTAGGATTGATTACTTTGATTACACATATATGAACAGACATTTGGAAGGAAAGATTTCAATTACTATCGTTCAGTTTCTGTAACTTTCCATGAGGTTCTGCTATCATTGCTTAACACAGCATGTAGCTAGCTGACAGCTTGCTCTGAATCTGGTATACATTGCAATAGCTAAGGTTCATGTACAACAAAACTATTCAAGTCCTAGTGTGCTTCTTGAATTCTTAGACGTTGTTTGGTGTCTCTAATTACCTGATAGGCACTGTCCCCCTTCTGTTCACTTTCGAGTCTAATTACTTGATTCATTCTCTTATTATGGGCTTACAGAATTGAAAACCTGAGAAATGAGCAGATAACACAATATGCTGTTCAAGATAACTCTATTTTGTCAATTTATCTAAATATCTCGACCCTGAAACCTACCTTGTTCTGGTCTTTATTTTCATGTTAATGGACCAAAGTTATTGCCTGATCCGTCCTCAACCTAGATCAAGGCTTTAATCATGTGAGATGAATCAATTAAAACAATATCATTTATTAAAAAACAAAATGATTGTAACCCTCAACTAAATCAATCCCCACCTAGTTTTTTTAAACCTAGCCCAGCTCAAGTCTGACATCAACATGGCCTGGCAGGCCAGCTCTAATAACAATGGTCTGGACTTTCACAGGCATTCAGTTCTTAATTTTAACTCGTCAACTTCAAATTAGACTGCCCATTATCCAGTAGCAGATGTTTGTCCCATGATGCTCTTATGATCTCCATTGTGTTGATCAAAATCAAGATTCTGGGGGGGTATCCAAAGCTGGATAAATTTTATGGTGATGAGAACAAATAAGTAGCCACATGATTTCCACCATTCAGTAGTGCAACAGAGCTGACATAACCTGCACATGCCTCCATGGAAGTAATTCCATGCAGATCACAAACAAAAGAGGAAACGATGCCACTTGCGGTAGAAAACAACAGGCTATATAACAGGATACACATATTGGTCTTTTCAAGTTAACAGGATTTTACAATTCCACTGCGGTTTCCTTCATTCTACTACGAGGGTTAGGCATCGGGAAGTAAAACTGACAATAAAATTAGCACGAAAACCTACTACATCCAAGGTCAGTGACGGTTGTTACATTTTCATTCTGATCATAGTCGAGTAATCACCATTTCATCTAACCACGTTAATTCACAAAGGACACAACAAAAAATAAACGATCGGAAAAACAAAATAAGCTTCTTCGTTATCTGTTCTACTATCAGAAGTGAGCAGAAGGTCATTGTTCCATGCACCTGCAAGTAACAAGAAAAAAACTAGTCTGATTACCTGTTTGGTATGCATCAGACTGCAAGTAAATTAATCAACATATGAAGAACAGACATGATAGCAGGCACACCAAAAAGGTTTTAAACCCAGAGGATGATAGCAAGTCAAAGATGTCCATTAATGAAGAGGAAGAGGAAGCGCATGCATGGAAGCAAGGGGGATTCAGCAACAACAGAACTTCTAAAGCTAAACTACTCCGGTGAAAATTTATAACTAACCAGCAGGATAATCAAATCACCAACTAAAACACACAAAAACAGGAGACACAACAATACTAAAGATTGTGGATCATACTAACCAGTCATCATCATGGAACATCATGACCGTTTGAATAAATGATGCCGTGCTAACACCTCTCCTACCCCCACTGCAGATATGCTTTCACATCCAAGAAGATCACGAAGCTTTGTATCACATTGTATCGCCATTGAATTTAACGGATCCTAAAGACACATGAAAACCATGGAACATTTAAATTCCAGCTAACTTATCTAAAATAAAAATTAAGGTTTATTGGGAAAAAACAGTATATAATAAAAGAGAGATTTATCCAAAACAAAAGTTTCATTCTAGAAAATTAATTAACAAGCTAATATGGAAAGTGCATGGGGAAAGAGATGGATATCTAAACTCATTACGCACCTCCAACTGTTTTAGCTTTATGTACTCCCAAACACGTCTGGATGCTTCTGTTTGGGTCATTTCCCTCTCAGTAGTCCCCAAAAACTCGGCAAGTCTTTCAGATATCACCACAAGTGATGCACCAGGTTCAGTATTTTCAGTTGGGGTCTCAACATCCACCTTTGCTCGCTTGGCTTGACTGGATTCCTCTGAACACACATTATCAAGAAAAAGAAAATTTTAACCATCTCAAAGTCACTGCAGAACAACACCACCAACAACAGCATGCTTACTGTAATTATCATAGAACATACTTGATGGTTGAAGCGGGATGATATGTTTAGCCAGTAACTTATTCATCTTAAACATGTCAGTGCAGTCTGTCTCAAAAACCACACGTAAAGCATCATCGCAAATTATCTTCCTCTTGTTACTTGGATCCTGGAGGTTGTTTTTCCTTATGTATTGCCACAATTGCTTCACAATCTGCACAAACACAAACCACCATTCTTAGAAACAACAAAGAATTACTCCATGAACAGCAAAGCCACCCAGCCAAACTAAGAACTGCGCCTGACCAACAGCATATACCTCAGTCCTTGGCAACGCTGGCTCGCCAACAATGGCCTGAAGTTCAGGTGAAACACCACATACTTTGTTTAACCCCCCAGGTCCACCTCTTCTTTTGGATCCAACTGGAGCACTGCTGCAAAATAGAAAAATACAAACACAAGTTCAATCTCATGCTCCTATAAACGGCTGCATGATTTTGCATTTCAAAACAGCTTCAAGCTCCGATCAAACAAAATCAACAACGGCCGGAACTTGCACACTAATCATCAGCTAAAAATACCCAGAAATAGAGACTTGCACACTAACCATAAGCTAAAAAATGCCCAAATAATGGATTTTTCTACTCGGCAACAAATTTATAATAAACCTCCAATTGGGTCACTATTTAACCAAAAAAAGTGACAGTTAAAATATTTTTTACTGTCTTTTTAGTAACTACAAAGACTCAAACTTTATAATAAATATTACTAACCAAAAACAGATGGAAGTTATAAACTCTATAAACTAATAACTTACTTCTATAATTTACCCTCAATTTAAGAAAAAAAACAAAACAAAACAAAAATTTCTTAAAAAAAAAAAAGCTAAATTTGCAACGAGTAAAATAGTACAAATAAACCCTCAAAACCTCAAATTGAGCCATGAAAAAAACCTAAAAAGACAAAAAAAACCTCAACTTTTACCTCTCTTTAGCCACTTCATTAGCAACAACCCCAGCATTTTGCACATGCTGTGTCTGCCTATGCTGCTGCTGCTGAGCTTGCAGCTGAGGTGGCGGCGCTGGGGGAGTCGCCACCGCTTGTGGCTGCCTAAAGTTAAGGTCCTGAGAAAAAAACTGGTGCTGGTGGTGTTGTTGAGGATGGTGCTGGCGCTGGTGCTGGTGCTGGTGGTGAGGGTGAATGGCAAAATGGGAAGGGTGAAATTGTTGTTGAAATTGGAGGGCAAAATGGTCTTTAGGGGTTAAGTTAAGAGCTTGCCCTTGTTGGAACTGAAAAGCTTGCTGTTGTGGTGGCGGATGCCCGGTGGTGGTCACGGAGGCGGGGGCGGTAGCACTGGCGGTGGTAGTGATGGGGTGGGAACGGAGGAGAAGGTCAATTTGGTCACGAATAAAAGCAGCTTTGTGTGACAAATCTAACCCTAATTTAGCTTCAAGTTGCTGTACGACACCGTTTAATGAAGTAACGGCGCTTGGGCCTGCCTGCCGCAGCACCGTCTCTACTCCTTTCGCTATCTCCTGGTCCGTCACCATGGCTTGCCTCGCTTCTCTCTCTTCACAAATACTTCTAACGGAAAAAACGGACACAAACGGTAACTCTCTCTTTCTCTCTAGAAACCTCTCTCTCTCTCTCTCTCTCTCTCTCTCTCTCTCTCACTAGAAAACTTCTCTGTCTCTTTCTCTGTCTACTTTCTCTCTATCTCTCTCTTTATAATTTTCAAACGGACGGAAATGACCTCTCGTTTTTCAAACTGGAAATGACGGTTTGCCCCGGTGAGAGGCGTGTTTGAGATGGTATAATGGGTATTTGAAGAAGTCTTCTCTTTCTTGGAGCTCTAGTCTGTCATTTTGGGCATGCGGGATGACGGTTTTGGGCTTGCAGATTGGGCGTTGTAGGGGAGGGGAGGCAGGGGTGAGGAGGTAAATCGGGTGGATTTGCAAGTGGGATTTTATTTTATCTTGGAATTTAAAAAGGAAAAGATAAGACTGGAGACAGTGGATAAAGATATAATTAAATTGAAAAGGGGAAATGACAAGATAAAGTGGGTTTAAGTTTTTATTTATTTTTCTATTTAAAAAAATTATCTATTGATACAATCAGTATTATTAAACTTGTTTCCATATGAGTAGAATTGAATTTTATTTTTATTAATATAAATATTTAAATTATTTTATATATATTTTGATTAATTTTATAACTTTTAATAATTATTATATTAATAATCACAGGATTTAGATTTGAAATCACCGGAGAAATAAATTTTTTAATTTTAAATTTTTATTATTAAATCATCAACTAGATAATTAAGAGCTTAAATTTTTACTATTAAATCACCAGCAGATAATTAAGAATTGAATTTTAATTTTTCTTCTATTAATCAAATTAAAATTTAATGTAATTTAAAAAAATAGATACATGGACACAAAATTAGTTATTACTATTAATAATAAAGATTATATGTTTAAAAAAACAAGTGAGGATATATTGGTCATTGGAATTGGATTTGTGAGTGGGAAAATGGATGGTTTGATAGGAATTTAGAAGGGTGGGTCAACAACATAAGGATGTTGGTAAAGACCAAAGGGTAACAAATTAGAGCTTTATTGATCCAAGATAGCTACTATTGGAACACCTTCTCTTGCAGCAGCATCACTTTTGTTTTTTAAGGAAAGAGAAATAATTAGACTTTGGAAAACAAAAAGACAAAACATGGTTCTACATTAAAAAATTAATGTTATTAAATTTAACTCGGTTTGGTAGGTTAATTTTATTAATTTGTTGATTGATTTAAAAAAATTAAATGATATCAGTTTAATTATATATATATATATATATATATAAAGTTCTTTTGAATTAATCTAGATTACCTCATTAATATTATAATCTGAATTTTAAATAAAATTTAATAAATTTTTCTAAATTACTAAGTTTGTGTCACGATCGTATCTTTATGACTATAATATAAGCAATTATTTAACATCAAAACTGTGTAAGTTGTCAAGATGTGATGAAAAGGCTTCGATATTAGTTTCATAAATGGACAAGGGGAGGACTTGAGTTCTTTTTATGGGGCCTGAATTATTATTATTATTATTATTATTATTATTTTCGCAAACAAGTCAAGCACAAAGGGAATTAAAGAAAGAAAAAGAAAACAAAGGGCATGTATTGATGTAGACTCTATTATCTTTTATCCCTCTATGTTGGCTACATTTTGCGCAAAGCCTGCTTGTGGTCCATATATTCCATGGATCTTCCTTTTAACTTGAAAAATGCCATGTGAACACATGGTTTCAAAAGTAAAATATATTATGCCATTTGAGAGATAAAAAGATCTCTGGTTTAAATTTAAAAAAACAAAACAAAAGAGAAACATGTTAGTAATTAATTTACTTAATTCATAATTTTTGATTTTGCGGCATTGACTTAGATGGTAAGTGATTTGTTATCTACATTATCAACTTAATTTAAATTTAAAAGACATTTTTTTATGAAATATGTGAAACTTATTCCACAAAAAAAAACTAATTGGACTTAAGATTTTTAAATTAACTAAAAGTAAAATTATTAAATTTGATATGATGTATTTCATTATACATACATACGTACATATATATATATATATATATATATTAACTTTTAATTGAACTTGCTGTTCTGTCAAGTTAATTCATGACCTAATTGAAATATGATTTAATTATTTTTTTAAAAAATACCAGTTTAATGTTTTTGTTTAAATAAAACAATACTATTTTTATTAATTAGATTAAACTCGCTCAATTTGTGCCCCTTATTGCTTAAAGCAAAGTTAGATTTTAACCTCCAACTACTTTCTTTACTAAAAAGAAGCCCAACAATAGAAAGGCCACAGATTAGCAATGGGCTTTCCAATTTTAAACCCTACGAATCCAAGTCCATCACCTAATTGTCTCTCAAGCTGTCAGCAGAGGGGTAACACTAACACACCACCATCATGGCACAGGTTCTTAGCATAAACCCTCTACATTCGTCAACCCGAACTGAATCAAACGGCACGCTATTCTACAACCAGATCCACAAGCAAGATGGAAAGAAAAGATGGGCCACTTTGCAGCAAGAACTCCGCTGTAATGGCAAGTTTTCTTGTCTTTTCTCAGGCAGTGGCAGGGAGGTAACAAAAAAAGTTCGCTCCTTGATGCTTTATTTTATCCCTTTTCGAGGAAGTTGTTACTGGGCTTTGTTTGCTTGGATGTAAATGAAGGAAATTTTGATCAGACAGTGAGAAAGATTGAAGCTTTAAGGTTTTTAGTTTTGGAAATCAAAACCCATGTTTGGATTTTGGGGTGATTGAAAGTTGTGGTTTTGAACGGTGGATGTGGAACGTGATAAGGTGGTTTAAGTGGGTTTTTGAGCTTCCAAGAGAATTGCTGTCTGCTTAATTGGGGAGGATGAGGGTTACGAGGTAGTGCGCTTGTTAATTGCATTATTTTTATTGAGTTGGAATGAATGAAGGTTAGCTGGTTGTTTAAATGGGATCTAGTTTATTTTAGAAGTTTAGAATATTCTGTCTACTGATTAAGCTATGGTTATTGTAAAGAATTTTGAAGCTAAGCTGGGCGTTAAATGTTTCGTAGGTATAAATTAGCTTTGTCTTCTTCGTGGCTGCAGGAACGAGCTAAAAAAGCTTTAGAAAGTGCGCTTGGTGGAAAGAAATATGAATTTGAGAAATGGAACTAAGGAAATTAAGAGGAGGGAGGAAGCAGGTGGAGGGGGGAGATTCTGGTGGGGGAGGTTGGTTTGGATGGGGTGGACGATTGGGCTGGTCCAATGGTGACAACTTTTGGCCAGAAGCACAGCAAACGAGTCTTGCTGTCCTGGGTATTATTGCCATGGTAAGGTTTTCCCTTTTCAATTCTTGAGTTTTTGCAATGTTGTTGTGTGTGATAAATTGTTCTCTCCCTTTTTCTTGAGATGTTATTTTACATGTACAGTATCTCGTAGTTGCAAAAGCTGACTTGATCCTTGCTGTCATCTTCAATCGTTAGCTATATGCATTGCGAGGGACAAGAAACTGGCTAACTTTGATATCATCAAAAATCTTGAGAAACGCATCTCTAGATGGCCCTTCTGATTTTTCAAGTGCATTAAAGAATGGTGCTTATGTTGAAGTCTCAGCTAAAGAGAGTGTCAAGAGAAAATGGGGAAGCGATTGATAAGTTGTCTAAGGTTTAACGGTTACTCCATCCCTCAACTAGTAGCTGGTGTGGCATCTATACTTGTATTGGGCAATCGTACTGCAGATTCTTGAGAATGCATTTTTGAATGGTGAAGATCACCAAGCCTGGCTGCATAGTGTTTAAATGTCGACCCCCTAGGGTTTGGAGACGTGCTTCCCTCTTTTTGGGGCATTTTGTACTTGAAACTAGTCTTTCATCATCTCCGTGTAACATCAAAGATGGAGGAGTACTTGAACATCAAATGGAAAGAGACTTGCTCCATATTTTGTCAGTAACATTCAATTCTACTTTTCTATAATATGCATCATTTATCATCTCTAAATAATCCATTATTTTTTAGAATTGAGGTGACCTGTTTATATTATACAAATTTGATTGACTTAGTTTGCAGAGAAGGATCCAACAAACCATTAGGCAGAGCAAGAGCCATTTAGATTCCCTTCGTTTGCACTGCATAATTTTCTATTTTCCCAATTTAGTTATTTGTGCTTTCTTGTCTGGATTTACTGAGTAATCATATACTATTGGGATTGAAGAGGGGATTTCGAAGGCGAATTGCTCGTGTCCAGGCTGCTGTACCAACGGTACCCCATAAGTGCAGCCAGAGATGACTACTGCAAGTACGGGTACTGTGGTTTTACTACTGAAGGAAGCAATGATGAATTTACCTGGAGCTGAGGACTAGGTTAGGTACACGGCAATTGTTTTTTTGGTTTTTTTATTTATATGTGGTATTCGGCTAACTTGCACGTAATATGATTAATCTTTATGATTTATTGAATATCCTATAAACCCAATAGGTATATAAAGCACTATAAAATAATAAGCATACATACCAGAGCTTTTCTAGTTTGCGTAAATTTACCATCCGAGCTGTGTTGCTGTTGTGCCATAGTTGATCTAGGTCCGCCAACCTGCTAACCTGCTGACATCACATAATGATTCAAGCACATCTCTATCAACCACTGGAGTATTGGAGAAGCTAAAGTGTGGTAAAAATCAGTGTGAAATTTCATGATTTCATCAACACGAGGGATAAGGTCAAGCAAACAGTTCAACAAGGATTTCATGAAGTTGGTAAAAAGTTTTTAACTGAGGTGCATGCATTTGTTGACAAATCCTGCTGTGAAACTACCTTTATCCTGTTATTTTCCTTGATTTTGAAATTATGAACCTCCTAGAGCATCATAATTCCTTCAGCGGCTTAAAATTATGAGTGGAAAGAGGAACAATACAATGCAGAGATTCTCCTTGCTACCTACCAAGGACATTGTTCAAAGTTATTAAACTCCACTTGAAGAGGAGGTTGGGCAAGCTTACTAAGATTCACTAGGGTTAATTAAAACGTTTCAAAATTTAAAAAATAAAATAAAATGATTTTTCATGATTTTTTTTAAAAAGTCAAATTGAGTTTTAATTAAATTAATTTTTACATATTTTTTTTA